AAAAAAAAAAAAAAAAAAAAAAATTTGTCCTCTCTGCATCAGAACATAACAAGGCTCTTATGAATTATTCAAATGGTTATATTGTTTTTTTTTTTGAGATGGAGTTTTGCTCTTGTTGCCCAGGCTGGAGTGCAATGGCGCAACCTCAGCTCACTGAAACCTCCACCTCTTCGGTTGAACCAATTCTCCTGCCTCAGCTTCCCAAATGGCTGGGATTACAAACATGTGCACTACATCCAGCTAATTTTGTATTTTTTTTTCTCTTTTTTTGAAGACAGGGTTTCAACATGTTGGTCGGGCTGGTCTTGAATTCCCAACATCAGGTGATCCGCCCACCTTGGCCTCCAAAGTGCTCAGATTACAGGCGTGAGCCACCACGCCTGGCCTTTTTTTTTTTTTGAGACAGAGTCTTGCTCTCTGCTCTGTCACCCAGGCTAGAGTACAATGGCACGATCTCGGCTCACCGCAACCTCAGCCTCCCGGGTTCAAGCCATTCTCCTGCCTCAGGCTCCCGAGTAGCTGGGATTATAGGCACCTGCCACCACACTCAGCTAATTTTTGCATTTTTAGTAGAGAAGGGGTTTCACCATATTGGTCAGGCTGATCTCGAACTCCTGACCTCAGGTGATCCACCTACCTCAGCCTCCCAAAGAGCTAGGATTATAGGTGTGAGCCACCTCATCCAGCCAGAAACTTGATTTTATTTTCTTATTCATCTGACAACTTTTAGGCCACTCTTGTTCTTACCCAAGTACATAAAACAAGAGCACCATGATGTTTACCCTGTAAAATTATGGATTTATAGTTGTTTGCCACTATCTGTATTGGCTGGTGAATAATTTTTGTGGAAATAATTGTCTAATCCCCAGTTCTAAGTTCAAAAAAAAATTTTTTTTTTTCCTAACAGGGTCTTTCTGTCACCTGGGCTGGAATGCAGTGGCGTGATCTCAGCTGCTGGGCTCAAACAATCCTCCTGCCTCAGTCTCCCAAGTAGCTGGGACTACAGGCATGTGCTACCACACCTGGTTAATTTTTGTATTTTCTATAGAGATAATAAAAGTTTTGCCATACTGTCCGGGCTGGTCTTTAACTCCCAGACTCAAGCGATCTGCTTGCCTTGGCCTCCCAAAGTGCTGGGTTTTACAGGTGTGGGCAACAGTGCCCAGCCTCCCAGTTCTAAATTTTTTCTAGCTGTGGCCCCTTTGCAATTCCCCTACAGGTTACTTTTGCTACATATAAACTCTTCTTACTTCTTCAACTTCAAAATCATTTTTGCAGCGGGCAGTGAATCAAAATGACAAAATGCAAACCTATTTCTATATTCTTCCTCAAAATCTTATTTATGCTTGAACTTAAAAGTTACAGTAATAGCTCTATATCTCAAAAGTCAAAGGTTGTGATTGTAATATGTTTAAATAAAAAAAAACATTAGCCAGGCTGGGTGCAGTGGCTCATGCCTGTAACCTCAGCACTTTGGGAGGCAGAGGTGGGTACATCATTTGAGGTTAGAAGTTTGAGACCAGTCTGGCTAAGAGGGTGAAACCCCATCTCTACTAAAAAATATATAAAAATTAGCCAGGTGTGGGGGCACACGCCTGTAATCCCAGCTACTCAGGAGGCTGAGGCAGGAGAACTGCTTGAACCCTGGTGGCGGAGGTTGCCAAGATCGCACCACTGTACTCCAGCCTGGGCGACAGAGCGAGCCTCTGTCTCAAAAAAGACAAAAAACAAAAAACAAAATAACCTAAACTACTAACAATTCACATTAATTATCAGCTGTTTTGTCTATGGCTTGTTTTTTTGCAAACAAGAAAAGCCAAAAACTATGTATGAGGTACTACTGACAATAATTAACCTGAATCAAATCAATTTTTATTTATTTTTATTTTATTTATTTATTTATTTTTTGAGATGGAGTTTCACTCTTGTAGACCAGGCCAAAGTGCCATGGCACGATCTCGGCTCACTGCAACCACCACCTCCCGGTTTCAAGCAATTGTCTTGCTTCAGCCACCCGAGGAGCTGCAATTGCAGGCATGCGTCACCATACCTGGCTAATTTTATATTTTTAGTAGAAACTGGTTTTCATTATGTTGGTCAGGCTGGTCCCTAACTCCTGACCTCAGGTGATCCACCTGCTTTGGCCTCCCAAAGTGCTGGCATTACGCGTGTGAGCCACTGCGCCTGGCCAAAATCCATTACTTAAATTTAACTCTGTGTTTACAAGAAATACAGCAATAAAAGAAAAAATTAAGTATCACCACAAATAAATAATGAAAAGGTGGGACATTCTAGAAGGAAATAATTAAATGTAGAATATGGAACATTCTATAAAACAACAAAATAGTCAATTTAAAAATGTCAATGTTGGGCAGGCATGGTGACTCACACCTGTAACCCAGCTCTTTGGCAGGCCAACATGGTAGAATTGCTTAAGGTCAGTTCGAGAACAGTCTGGGAAACAGTAAGAACCAATCTCTCTAAAAATTTTTTTAAAAGAAAGGAAACAATAGTCGTATTATATTCATGTAGGAAAATGTATTTATTCTTAGGAAATAAATGAAATATTTAATAGAAATTTCTTGAGTGTGACTTTCAAGGTGTTAAGCAAATACACAGATACTTGGTTTTTTTTTTGTTTGTTTGTTTTTTTTTTTTTTTGAGGCAGGGTCTCACTGTATGCCCCAGGATGGAGTGCAGTGGCACAATCACAGCTTACTGCATTCTCAACCTCCTGAGCGCAGGTGATTCTCCTGCCTCAGACTCCCAAGTAACTGCGACTACAGGCAGGTTATTTTTATGTTTTTTATAGATACCAGTATGCCAACTTTTAAAAAATAATTTGGCATGTGTTGGCCAGGTGCAGTGGCTCACACCTGTAATCCCAGCACTTTGGGAGGCCAAGGTACATAAGGTCAGGAGTTCAAGACCAGCCTGACCAAGATGGTGAAAACCCCATCTCTACTAAAAATACAAAAAAATTAGTGGGGCATGGTGGCAGGTGCCTATAATCCCAGCTACTCAAAAGGTGGAGACAGAGAATTGTTTGCACCCAGGAGGCGAAGGCTGCGGTGAGCCGAGATTGCACCACTGCACTCCAGCCTGGGCGACAGAGCGAGACTCAATCTCAAAAAATAAATATAAAAAATAAAAATATTTGGCATGCGCCAAAACATTAAAAATCATTCTGTCTAGGTGGTGGGTTCATTGCCAAGTGTTCCTTGTAAAATTCTTTCCTCCTTTCTTTTCTTTTTTGAGATAGAGTCTCACTGTGTCACCCAGGCTGGAGTGCAGTAGAGCTTCACTGCAACCTCTGCCTCCCCGGTTCAAGCGATTCTGGTCAGGCTGGTCTCGAATTCCTGACCTCATGATCTGCCCGTCTCCCCCTCCCAAACCGCTAGGATTACCAGTATGAGCCATCATACCCAGCCTCTTTCCTCCTTTTCACATGCATGAGCTTTTCTTAATAAAAACTGACGCCAAGTCACCCCTGTAATCCCAGCACTTTGGGAGGCTGAGGCGGGCGGATCATGAGGTCAGGAGTTAAGCGACCAGCCTGGCCAGTATGGTGAAACCCCATCTTTACTAAAAACACAAAAATTAGCCAGGCGTGGTGGTGCATGCCTATAGTCCCAGCTACTCAGGAGGCTGAGGCAGGAGAATCACTTGAACCTGAGAGGCAGAGGGTGCAGTGAGCCAAGATCACACCACTTCACTCCAGCCTGGGCAACAGAGCAACATTTCGTATCAAACAAAACAAAACACAAAACACACAACACTGAGGGGGCTAAGGGGTGGAACTACCTACTCGTATCTTAGCTGTGATATTAGTACTGCTATATTCTGCCCTATCTCTTTGGCATTTACTAAATAACTCGTAACCTTGTTGGCTGAATTTCTTACTGATTTGTTCCCAGGAGCAATCTTCACGTAGCTTGTACATATACATTGCTTTTTTTTTTTTTTTTTTTAATTTTTATGCAGCCATTTTCACTTAAGATGTTGTACAATAGTTAAATAACAACTTAATCTAAGGTGGATTATGTAGGCTACCAAGGAGGTACATTACCTTCTTCCATTAATGCATTATTTGACATCTTGGTAACAGGTGGTTTCTCTACTTTGTAGTAATTGTGTTGGTAACATGATTTTTGTACCCTCAATAGGTTTTACTTAACACTGCAGGCTCATACAGAACTATTAGCAATACCCAGTCTCTTATCTCGTCCTTCCATCCATAATATAGGAGTGCCAAATAAACACCTGTCTGGGGGGAAGGAGATTATTTCTTAAACGCTAGCAAATACAGTAGTGTACTTTATACTAAGACCCTATATGATCAGCTAGTCAATAAAAATCTATATAATTGTAAAAGCAAGACACAGACAGACCTTTTAAAAACAATGATACACCTGTCCACTTTTAAGCTATTTAGGGGACAGCAAATGTTGCCCATCTTCATCTCAAAGAAAATTAGAAAAAGATCTGTTTTCTAAAACTCTCCTGACATACTTGGTTCCTGAAGCTCTGAATTCCTCTGTCTTGTTCTTTCATAGCTGTAAAGTCCAGAAATGAAGATGAAGAATCCAGAAATGAAGAATTTGGTATCTAACGTTTTCAATTTACTGCCAGTACATACCTGCCCAAAAATCAACATAAAAAGAACATTTGGAACAGGAAAAATGTTTTATAGAAAACAAACATTTTAAGAACACCACTTTCTTGTTCCAGGGTAAAAAATAAACAATGATAATCCTCAACATAACTGGTAATTATGTTTTCAAGTTACCTCAATTTTTGGCTCTAAAAAGGAATACCAGAAAACCTATAGGGCTGAATACTTAATCTGTGTATAAAACTAATTATAGTTAAACATGTAATAGGCTTTTATTTATTCAGTCTTTGCACAGCCCATTTTGTCCCTCACAGCATTTAACTGTTGTGGTAACACATAATATATAAGAATCACATGGGCCGGGTGCGGTGCCTCACGTCTGTAATCCCAGCACTTTGGGAGGCCAAGGCAGGCAGATCACGAGGTCAAGAGATCGAGACCATCCTGGCCAACATGGTGAAACGCTGTCTCTACTAAAAATACAAAAATTAGCTGGGCGTGGTGGCATGCGCCTGTAGTCTCAGCTACTCGGGAGGTTGGGGCAGGAGAATTGCTTGAACCCGGGAGACAGAGGTTGCAGTGAGCCGAGGTCGCACCACTGCACTCCAGCCTGGCGACGGAGCGAGACTGTCTCAAAAAAAAAAAAAAAAAATCATATGGGTTTTAAGTAGTCTTAATAACCTACCATTTCCAAACTCAAAATACTTTCCTCTTGTTTGGCAGCAAATCCTGTATCAGGAAGCACCCAAACATTAGTTCTGTGCTCTTTACTAAAACAACTAAAGCAAGCAACAAGTTCTCTCTTTTAAAAGCGTTCAATATTCAGGTGGCCCTTTCCCAAGAAAAGCATCTACTGTGATGGAAAGCTTTTCTTCAATGACTGTTGTGTGTTGTCTAAATTCCAATTCTATGCTCTCAATTTCTTTTAACTCTGCTAAAAGCTAGCAATAGGTTAGTGTCTCCCTTCTGCTCTCCTTCCCTTGGTTACATATAAAAGTTTTTCAGCTAGGTACAGTCTCTCACGCTTGCAATCCCAACACTTTGGGAGGCCGAGGTGGGTGGATCAAGAGGTCGGGAGTTTCAGACCAGCCCGACCAACATGGTGAAACCCCGTCTCTAAAAAAATACAAAAATTATCCAGGTGTAGTCGCATAATCTCAGCTACTCAGGAGGCTGAGGCAGGAGAATCCCTTGAACCTGGGAGGCGGAGGGTGCAGTGAGCCAAGATTGCTACGGCTGGGCTGAGGCACATGGATTGCCTGAGGTCAGGAGTTCAAGATGAGGCTGGTCAACATGGTAAAACCCCATCTCTACTAAAATACAAAAATGAGCCAGGCATGGTGGCACACACCTGTAATCCCAGCTAACTGAGAGGCTGAGGCAGGAGAATTGCTTGAACCTGGGAAATGGAGGTTTGCAGTGAGCTGAGATCACACCACTGTACTCCAGCCTGGGTGACAGAGTAAGACTCCACCCCCCCACACATATATGTGTGTGTATATATATATATATATATGGATATAGCTTAATATCATAAAAAGAATCTATCAAAATATTACCACATTGATATTATGACAAAGGCATCCACCAGCTCTAGGGTTTGTAAACAACCAGCTCTAAAGTTTGTATTTTACAGGTACGGTCAAAACAGTGGTTTAGAGAGAACTTCCTCAAGGCTACAGTTAGTAAATATCCCAGTTAGGATTCAAATTAAGCTTTTTTTGCTCTAGAACTCTTCCCCAAGTCACTGACTCTTCCATCAACTTTGACTACTTATGAATTCCCCAAAAATTCCCAAAGGGAGTTAGATTTGAATGATCTAAAGAGCAGAAACATAGACCGAATGATTCTCATTTTTTGGACTCTTAAAATTATTGAAGACGCCAAAGATCTTTTGTTTACGTGAATTTTATCTTTCCACATTCACCACATTCAAAATTTTAAAATTTTAACATTTATCAATATATTTTAATACAAGCCCCATTACAAGTTAATATAAACATTTTCAACAAAAAAATACTTCCCCTCCAAAAAGTGAGAAAAGTAACACTTTTCAATCTTTGTAAATCTCTTTAATGTCTAACTTAATAGATGGTTAGATTCTCACTGCTACTTCCGCATTCAGTCTGTTGCTATATGTTGTTTTGGTTAAGAATACAATGAAAATCTAGTCAAAAAAGGGAGAGGCATTTTAATAACCTTTTCAGATAACTGTGGATAGTGGTAAATACTAAAATTCAATAAATGGTAGTTTTTTCTTTTTTCTTTAATAAATATAGACAAGGTCTCACTATGTTTACCAGGCTCAACTCAAACTCCTTGGCCTTTCAGAGTGCTGGGATTACAGGAGTGAGTCACCCCACGCTAGGTCAAATAGTAGTTTCTTAAACCATATCAATCTACTTTTTTACTGTTAAAATCCATTGCTATATCTGGTAATTTTAAAGGAGCTTTTACTTCGAATAATTTTGAAACATCATGCATTGGTCATTTGCAAAATACAGGGTTACAGAGCTATGCCCATCTTCCAAATGACATATATCATTATACAACATTTTTAAAAATTACAGTCCTTAACCACTGATAGCATAAGGAAAGTCTTTTAAGTACTAGGAAGCTGTCAAACTCCAGATGTGAACTTTTTAAACATTCTAATTTTCACCCAAATTTTATCACTGGTAACAAATACTGTCAATTGTTTTCTTAGAAGTGACAAGCTCACTTCATTTTCAAGAAATATCTGCCAAATATGAAGTGTGAAAAACCAGTTTGCCCGTCATTCTTTCAACTAAAAATGCTACTCCATGAAATAAGCCACTCATAACACAATCTCACAAATGGCTTCTCTCATGAAAACAATCACACCTCCATAGGCAGCACAAATGCTTTATCCATGTTTCTTATTTCATCACAAATTCTTAAAAATTGAAAAGACATGCAGTCAAAAACTAAGATTTAATAATAGTAGGCCAGGCACGGTGGCTCAAGCTTGTAATCCCAGCACTCTGGGAGGCCGAGGTGGGTGGATCACCTGAAGCCAGGAGTTAGAGACCAGCCTGGCCAACAAGAGGAAACGCCATCTCTACTAAAAACAACCCGGGACGGGTGGCTCACGCCTGTAATCCCAGCACTTTGGGAGGCCGAGGCGGGCGGATCACGAGGTCAGGAGTTTGAGACCAGCCTGACCAATATGGTGAAACCCCGTCTTAAAAAACAACAACAAAAAACACCACCCGGTAGGCAGAGGTTGCAATGAGTGGAGACTGTGCCACTATATTCCACTCTGGGCGATAGAGCAAACCTCTGTCTCAAAAAAAATAAAAACAGGATAAAATAAAAATAATAATAATCTTTACTGCTTCAAGGGCATTCTCAAGTAAGTAGTTTGGTGCCACTGACTTGCTTTGTGCTAAGGTACTACCAGGAGTTTTATCCAGCATCGCTTTTGAACCATCAGTGTGTCTGAAAAAAGAGAAATGTCATCTTACTATTATTTTGAAAATAGTTATGACCTTGAGGCTCCCCTGAAACGGTACGAGGAGATCCCCACGGGTCATCTGTCCACATTTTGAGAACTGCTTTCCTAGATTATACCACTAGTTCAAGATGGAAGTGGAAACTCTAACGAATCACATTCGTCCCAAGAGTCCATTCTGTTACCTCCTTTAGTTTGACATACACCACCAACATAGCTCTGGAAAAGGAAAGGAAATCAAGGGCACAAGGTGTCATTTAATTGTTTTAATATTTTGAACGCTTTTATGTTAGACCAGTAATTCTCAAAGCAGTGGTTAATCAGTCTCCGCTGTAGGACTGCTCATTTTAAAATGTAGAGATGACATTCCCCCACTCTGCCCCATTCAAATAAACTTGGGGGATGAGGCCCCTCCAAACTGTATATTTAACAATCTTCAAGGCCGGGCGCGGTGGCTCACGCCTGTAATCCTAGCACTTTGGGAGGCCGAGGTGGGTGGATCACCTGAGGTCAGGAGTTCAAGACCAGCCTGGTCATAATGGAGAAACCCCATCTTAAAAATAAAAAAAAATAAAAAAAAAAACTTCAAGGTACTTTTTATGCACCCAGAACTTGAAAACAATTGTGCTAACAGCTCGAATTCAGAGTTCAAGCGCTCAGACCCTGAGCAACAAGGTCTCGAAATTCGGCCTGCCCGCGCTGTTTCTCTTTCATCTAGTAGGGTAAACTACTATAGAAGTAAAACCCCAACCAGGTGCTTGTCATCCCAGAACTTTGAAGACCAAGGCGGGTGGATCACCTGAGGTCAGGAGTTGGAGACCAGCCTGGCCTACGTGGTGAAACCCTGTCTCCACTAAAAATACAAAAACTAGCAGGGCGTGGTGGCACATGTCTGCAATTCCAGCTACTTGGGAGGCTCAGGCAGGAGAATCACTTGAACCCGGGAGACGGAGATTGCAGTGGGCAGAGATCGAGCTACTGCACTCCAGCCTGGGCGACAAGAGTGAAACTCCGTCTTTAAAAAAAAAAAAAAGCAAAATCCCATTTCTGTAGAGTTTTGAGCTGTGGTGAGATGTCTCTACGAGCATGGAGGGACCGGCTACCCCCTGCACCAAAACAGCAGCTGCTCTGAGATGGTATAACTGTATCTTAAGTTCCATTTGGAAGATGAGACTGGTCACCAAATGACTCTGAGAACTCTTCAGCACTACCTTTCTGAGCTAAGAATGTCTAAGACAAGTAAGCCGAGAAACGTTCAGTGCTACTAGCAGTTTGAGGGAACCCCACATCTGGAGAGGAAGGAAATCAGAACAACACGCAGAAAGAGGCAAAGCAAGTGGATCAATGACAGTACTCCTTTGCAAAAGGTGCCAAGAATCTAGAGAAAATAGTCCCCGGGATAAACATGGCGCCCACCGCGGCAGGACATAATCACCAGAAAATAAAGATTCCCCGCCCCATCCCATTTTACAAATCACGGCGCCATCCCTAAAGAAATTTGGGGGCCCAGGGACGAGACTTCGTAAACTAGCTACAGTGCACTAACGCTTAGGATGTACTATTAGACCAAGCAGACATTACATAACACAAGGGATCGGCTCAGCAATCACTCATTTTCCTCCTCCCGCTCAAAATGAGCGTCCCACTCCCTCTTGGAGCGGGGGCGGGGCGGGAAGGGGCGAGCACCCCCACCCCAGGGGCCGCTCCGCCGCCGCCCGCCCCCTCCGCCGCGCGGCCTCGCCCCCTCGCCGGCCCCTCCCGCCGCGACCCGCCGTCTCGCCGCCGCCCGCGCCCCCGTCCCTTCCCCAGCGGGCCGAGGGCCGCGAGCCGCGCCCGCGCCGCCCACTCCTCCGAGACGCCTCGCGCCGGGCGTGCGTGTGGACGTCGGACTCTGTGCGGGGCCGTGGGGCGCGAGCGCGCGCGCGCGCGCCGCGGCGGGCGCCGGGGGGCGGGGGTGGCCGGCCAGCCGGCAGGCAGGGGCCTCCGCCGCCGGCCCTTCGCACGGCTCCCGCGGCCCGGGGCGCACGCACACACACTCGCGCTCGCGCGCCGCACCCCACGACCGCCCCTGCCGTGGGCCGCGCCGCCGCTCGCGGTGGGCGGGGGCGCGCGCCGCCGGTCCCCCGCCCCCACCCCCGCGCGTACCGGCCCATCCCCCTCTCATTGTCTGGCCTCGGAACGCTTCGCCGAGCGAAAAGATAACGGAACCCCCGGGAGCAGGGGGTGGGGAGAGAGAAGGCTCGCTTGCTCACTCACCTCCCGTGGTCGTCGCCGCCGGTAGTCTGACCCGAGGAAGGCGCCGTCGCCTTAAAGGGACCTTGCACCCGGCGCCGGGAGAAGGGGGTGGGAGCAGGGGAGGGGACGGGGGCTTGGGGGGAGACGAAGAGGGAACCGTTGAAAGCTCGTCTCCCCAAGGGTGAAAGGAAGCCTCCCTCGGGTTCGAGTGATTTGGGGTGGATTTTTTTCCCGAGGGGGGCGGGGGGGGCCCCGAGGGAGGGGGGTGGGGGGGCCAAGGAATGCGGCTCCGTGTACGGGAGCTGGCGCGGGGGAGAGAGACGCCGACTCCCCCCACCGACCCTCTCGCCCCGCGGAGGGATACGGCTCGTCACTTCCGCCCTCCCCCTTTCACGGCCTCCCAATTGGTCGGAGCGCGCTACACGTCATGGGCTCATCCAAACCCCTGCCCGGGCTTCTTTTCTAGTCAAGTTTGGCTGGGCCTGCAAATAAATAAATAAAAACATTTTTTATAATGAAAAAAGAACAATTAGCTTCAGAAGCTCTATCTAAATTTTGGTGAGGAAAATGAGACTCCCAAAGAAAATAATCTCCAATTTACTTGCCTAGACTTTCCAGGGATGTGTTGGGAGGCTCCCCCACTTTCCACTCAAGGCTTAGACCCAGTCAAGAGGGGGACTTCATGACACAGGCCAGGTGCTGAGGCCCAGTGGCACCAACAACTGCCATTGGAACAAAGAACAAAATGGCACTCAGTCTTCCTCAAGAGACACTCGGCCAAGTAGCCTTGTGGCTGTGGCCTTGTTTAAGTGAAGAACTTTTAAAAGCCATTTTGACTCTCAAGTCCTTCTGGATCTTGGAAAGAAGTGGCACACGATTGTTAATCAAGGCAATTACTGTGATGGAAACTGCTTTGCTCCCATTGTGAGTAGATCCAGCAGAGATCCCCAGTTCTAAGACACACAATCCACATCCTTATGCTTTTTGCTCCAATCAAGGCTGAGATGGGTTGGCTCAAAGAAATTGGCTAGTCCACTCATGATCATCCACCTGTTTATTCTTCCCCAAACAAAAACTAACCTCTTCTCATGTAGCTAAGAAATTTTGTCCTTTGTTGCCTTCTGAGATGATAAAAATTTAATATTTTCCTTGAATATTTGAAAATGTTTGCTCCAAATGTGAAATCAAGGCACTTGGTGCAGAAAGGGGAGATACAGAACTATATTTGTTCGTTCTCTTTATATATATGTATATACTCCAAACCACGGACTGTGAAAATTGGCAGTGGAAGTAGGCATTCCAAATTGTATGCACCTACCCGTGTATGCACGTGCACACACACAGCCATCACCCAGCTTCATTCCATTTCATACCAAAACCATGTGAGTGACTTCCACTAGTGTGGGATGCTTAGGAAGGACTTCATTATTTGAATGAGAAGAATAACTAATCCTTCTGAAAATACTCTGAAGACTTTCCAGACCTGATCTGGAGAAGCTCATGGTAGGATTATGGGATCAATCACCAAAAGACAAACTACATAAAACTCAAATCCTATTTTATGCTGTCGTGTAATTACTATAATTCATTACATATGTTATATTTGTGTATACTACATATGTTACTTATCTTTGAAATATTCCAACATATTTTCCCATGTTCTGTGTGCCAATTTAGTTTCCCAGCCAATAAGATCAAGTGCAGACTATGCCATATACTGTTGACCAATAACCGTTAGGATGGTTTATTGAAAATGGATCAGCTGGGCATAGTAGCTCACACCTGTAATACCAGCACTTTGGGAGGCTGAGGTGGGCAGATCACTTGAGGTCAGGAGTTCAACACCAGCCTGGCCAACATAGTGAAACCCTGTCTCTACTCAAAATACAAAAAATTAGCCTGGTGTGGTGGCATGTGCCTGTAATCCCAGCTACTAGGGATGCTGAGACAGAAGCATTGCTTGAACTTGGGAGGCAGAGGCTCCAAGTAAGCCGAGATCTTGCCACTGTACTCAAGCCTGGGTGACAGCGAGACTCCCTCTCAAAAACAAACAAAAACCAAAAGAGAAAGTGCATCATGCATCCATTCATTCATTCAATAAATATTTATCAGGGGCTGGACATGGTGGCTCACACCTGTAATCCCAACACTTTGGAAGGCCAAGGCAGAAGGATCACAGCAGTCTGAGACCAGCCTGGGCAATGTAGCAACACCCCATCTCTACCAAAAAAATGTTTTTAATTAGTTGGTTGTGGTGTTCCTAGCTACGTGGAAGACTTGGGAGGATCACTTGAGGCCTGGAGTTTGAGACTTCAGTGAGCTATGATGACACCAGGGCACTCTAGCCTGGGGGGGAACAGAGCAAGATCCTGTCCCCCCCCCCAAAAAAAATTATGGAGTACATGTGCTAGTCACTGTTTTAGGTGCTGGGAATACAGCAGCAACAACAACAACAACAAAAATCCCTGAAATTGTGGGATTTACACTCTAGAGGGAAAGACACATAAAATATACACATAAACAAATTGTTCTATTGCCTGTTGCTAAATAACAAATGACCCCAAAACTTAGTGGCTTAAAACAACAATTTCATTATCTCTCATGGTTCTGGGAGGTAATTAGGCTAAATTAAACAGTTCTTACTTGGAATTTCGTATGCAGTGGTTGGGTTGAAGTAATCCCAAAAGCTTCCTTACATGCCTGGAAATTGAGGTTGACTGTTTGGCTTGGACCACAGCTGGGGCTGTTGGCAGAACGTTTACAAGTGGCCTCTCTGTGTAGCCCGGGCTTCCTCATATAGTGGCTGAGTTCGAAGACTGAGTGTCCCAAGAGGACCAGGCAGAGATCGGACCTAGTCTCAGAGGTCATGTAGTGTCACTTCCATTACAATTCCATTACAGTTTCAGGTGGAGAACTTAGATCCTCATCTCTCAGCGGGAATAGTGGAAATGTTACATTGTGAGAAAGTGTGTGGAATGAGAACTTTTGTTGCAGCCACCATGGAAAATGCAATCTGCTACACATTATGTAAATAAATATGTAATATATGAAATGGTGAGAGGTGCTATGGAGCGGAAGGGGCAGGATAGGCGAATTAGGGTGTGGTGCAGAGATGGGGGCAGAGGAGTTGCTATTTTACGTGAGGTGGTTCGAGAAGTGCTTATTATTAAGGTGGCAATTGGGCAAAGATGTGAGGAAAGTGAAGCAAAGTCTAGGTTTTACTTGTAGTAAAAATGAAGCTGCTAGGGGATCTCAAACCAGGTAGTGATGTGACGTTTTTAAAGGATCGCTGTGGCTGCTCGTGAAGAATAACCAGTAGGGGCAAGGGCAGATGCAGGGAGACCAGATAGGAGGCTACTGCAGGAATCCAGGCGAGAGATGGTAGCTTGGACCAGGATGGGAGGTGTGAAGCTGCTTCTTCCACTGATTGAGCTCTGCGGTGTGTTATTTACTCCTCGGTAACCTATTTTTCTGTTGTTTAGTTTATGCCCTGGGAGACAGTTTTGACCCATAATGGCTAACAAAATGAGTGATGGTGCTGTGCCTGCCACCAAGAAATAGAGAAAGACCATCATGCTGAATGTAAAAGTGGGAGTTTTGCAGGTTCTGGAGGCACCTTTGAGGAAATGGGTGAGGATACACAGAGTGAAGATCAACAAGCAGTTAAGGAATGGAGTGTCTTTTGATGTTGTAAAATGTATCCTGGCTGGGCCTGGTGACTCACACCTGTAATCCCAACACTTTGGGAAGCCAAGGCTGGAGGATCACAAGGTCAGGAGTTCGAGACCATCCTGGCCACCATGGTGAAACCCCGGTCTCTACTAAAAATACAAAACATTAGCCTGGCGAGGTGGTGGGCGCCTATAATCCCAGCTACTCAGGTGGCTGAGGCAGGAGAATCGCTTGAACCCAGGAGGCAGAGGTTGCAGTGAGCTGAGATTGCACCACTGCAATCCAGCCTGGGCAACAGGGCAAGATTCCATCTCAAAGAAAAACAGGGGGGGATCTTAACTGTGCTACAGAGGAGAAAACTGATGAACTGATAGCTAGAAGATATGATCGGCAAAGCCTTTTTTTTTGAGCTGGGATTACAGGCATGCATCACCATGCTTGGCTAATTTTGTATTTTTAGTAGAGACGGGGTTTCTCCATGTTGGTCAGGCTGGCCTTGACCTTCTGACCTCAGGTGATCCGCCCACCTTGGCCTCCCAAAGTGCTGGGATTACATGGGGGGGGGTTGCATCGCGCCTCGTGGACAAAGACATTTTATAACTTCAGAGGATTTCAGGGAAACTCTGCCACCTTACAACACTGGTGCAGCACTTCAAAAGAGACTACACAGTTAACACTTTCAGAAACGTGTTCCATGTGCTAAAGAGGGAATGCCCATATTAATTTGGACTGTGTTGGAACATTTTGCTGTCTTCAGCTAAAACACAGGTTTCCAGAGTGAAGTAACAGAACTGATAGCTTTGGTCTCTCTTTTGGACCATCTGGATAATGGTTTGAACCATCTTGATAATGATGGGAAACCCAAGCAGTAGGACAAATAACCCGAATAAAAATCCTTAGAAATCAACTCACATGTGCCTCTATAACATACTGGGGAGGAGTCTGAAAGCCAATCCAGTCTGATATGTTGAAGAAATTGGATCCTAATAGTGGTACTCCTAAATACTATCCCAGTCTTCAGTAGCCAACTTAGAAACTTGTTCTAAGAAAGTAAGTCAAAGGTTAATGCACGTCCCAAGCTGAGCTTTTCACAGTTCGGTAGCTGGAGGGTGTTTCTTTTCTACAGTTGATGGAAATACTTGTTTGCTTCCTTGACTTACGGTCTCTGCCATGAGTGGAAAATTGGGGCCGGGCGCGATGGCTCATGCCTGTCAACTCAGTACTTCGGGAGGTCAAAGTGGGCAGATCACCTGAGGCCAGGAGTTTTAGACCAGCCACCAAAGATCTTTAGTAGAGATGACGAAACCCCATCTCTACTAAAA